AATGTAGCTGTTCTGCAGGCTGAAGTCAGATAAAAATAAGAAACAGTATCCCATCCGTCTTTGTGATTCCAGTCAGGTTAAGCAGGCTGGCAGCTCCCCTCTGCCCCCCCAAAGGCAGACAGGGGACCTGAGCCTTAACAAATCAAGGGAAGCGTTGGGTAATTAGCAAGTCAATCGGACTACGTATAAAATAGCCTTGCCTTTTCAAGCTCGCAGTTCTGTAATGCGTTCGCCCTGTGCTCCTACGAGGCGTTCACGTACAGCAGCAGCAATGCATTCCACGCTGCTGCTCTGCGATACATCACAACTAAGTTCAGGTAAGTTTTTAGTTAACCAACAGAATCCCTGTCCCGAATACAACTGGTAATGCCACCTTGACGGGCCCTCCTCTCAACATCCAAAGTAGCCATTACCTTTCACAGTGATGTAAGAGGAGCTATAAAAGCAGAGCTGACAGGTTTGCATATAAAAAAAGGGCAGACTGACCCGATGGGAGCGGTAGGAACGCACCAGTTAATCAGACCAGTCTTCGGGGTAACGGCAAGTTGAACAGAACACAGAACCGACAGTAGCGCAACACGCCCGGGAACAAAGGACGCAGGTCACACGCAACAGGAGAACGCTCACGTTAGCACGTGGCCGTGGCGAAAGGGGTTAGAAGCAAGGACACAGAAACAGCACCGCACCAGGACGCTTAGCGCAGAGCTAAGGAGATAAGAGTCGCTGACAATGGTATTCTGCAGGAGCGCTTCAGGACGCAGCCCGCTCTCTCATTCTGCTGTCTGCACATACATGAGGTACAAAGAACTAGAAGGAGACCAGAAGAAAGATCTAGCAGACCAGTACGCCGTTCTGAGCAGGCAAACGCCTACATCAGTTCAAAATTTCAGTCTCTTAACCAGGAGAAGGCTGGTTAACCAAGAGAAGAGGTTCAGAAGCAGGACTGTTGCTGCTAGATTGAACGGTTGTCTGTTAAAAGCCTACATTAGAAAATCTTATATATTATTTAAATTGGGTTTTTTGGTTGGGTTTTGTGTGTGTGGCTTTTTGTTGTTGTTGGGTTTTGTTGTGGTGGTTTGTTTTGTTTTTTTTTTTTTAAAAACTGCTAAAAACCAGAGACTTTGCTTATTCTTCATCACTCGACATTTTTGGATCAAGGCTTGATGTCAAAAAAAAGAAAAAAGTAACATTTACAGAAAAAAAAAAAGGATCTGTGACCTTCATCAACAATGGATCTTTCTGTCTTTAAATATGCGGGTATAAATCTCTGCATGTTTATCAGGAGAAAAAGAAAGACAGGCTGATTTTCCTCTCCAGGTACCAGGACAAACGCACCACAGGGCGAAGGATCAACACTACTCAGCGACTGCCCGGGCTCGTTAGCATTCTCATCCCCCCTCTCTGCTCTCTGGGGAAAGTCGGTGCCACTGCTCTTCCTCTCACAGCGTATCTGAAAGACGTGGCTGTTTGCTCTCAGCACCAGAGGTACACCCACGGTGCTGTGCTGCGTTGGCGGCTCCTTCACTTTGGGAATAAACGCAAGGTCCAGCCTGGCAAAAGCCCATGTCTACAAACATAACCTCCACATTGCATCACGTGCAACGACAACACGCTTTTGTTTTAGATTCGGTTATGAGGAATGGGATAGCCGCACAATTCTTGTCACAGTAATCCAGTGAATGTGCATAGCGATGTTCTCGGATGAAGGGAAAGAAATGGAACGCTTTCTGCTGTCGCTGTCTTGGGGCAACACAAAGCTCTCGGGAGCGCCCAACAATTGCGAACGGTCGTCTGCATTGCTGTACCACTCAAAGCCCATTACGCTAAGAGCTAAGCGCATAAAATAAGAACAGCAAGCACTCACGCACCTGCTTACCCAACTGGAGAAACGGATACGTAGAAAAACTGTTCTGGAGGACTTCCAAGGAATTCTCCAGAACATGCAACTGCTCTCTATCTAATCAGAGACAGGGAGAACAGAGACAGAGGCAATGGTGTAAGAACAAGCTCTACACAGGCACGCATCCTTGTGGTTGTAAGAGCCACAACAGCAGTTCCTGCAGCCAGCTTCAGCTGGACAAACTCTACAGGGAAGGCATTAGCAGATACATTATGTAGTAAGAGAGAAGCACACCACTATTTAAAACAGCAAACTCGGCAGCAGAGCCAGTGCAGAGGCGGCAGCAAATAATCCTTTTATGTACCTCAAGAATTTCCACACATTTACGAAATCTCTGCATCCCTCGCCAAACCTGTAACAGACGCTTAGCCAGTAAACAAGGATTAGTTTCTGGAGAAGAGAAACATCCACAAAGGAGATACAAATTTGCTCAGAACTGGCAAGGGAGGGCTCTCGTCTAAAAGAAACCACACTTCAGCATGCGTGACGGTGTAACATTCTGTGTTCCTTACACGGGAAAACATGGAAACCTTAGGATTTGCTCTGGATCTCTTAAATCATTTCAGTAGGACATTTGGGGCTGAATAAAAGGAGAAAGGCAGAATGAGGCTGGGGAAGAAGGGCACTAATCCACAGTCAGGGCATGCTGAACGTTGATTTGGCACAGGGAAAGCAGCTAGGAGGAATCTGTGGACAAGACAGAGCGGCTAAAGAAAGGCCAGGAGGGCAGGTCACATGCTGCTTATCACAGGGCAAGAGGGAGAAAGCTGCCTTTGCACCTCAGGCTGTGCTGCTGGGCTTTGCTGCGCGTATCATTTCCAGACCAGAATCTGCGAGCCAGTTAGTTCTCAGTGACGTTGCTCAACATCCAGAATTTTTTCAGCACTGTGACCGTGGCTTCAGTTCGTCTTGTCAAACAGCGGTCAGCAGAGCAGCACAACGATCGCACCTGAGCGCCTGCCAAAAGACTGAGAGAAATTAGGAACGCAGTCGTACAGAGGGATGTGCATTTTAATCTGGAGTTCTCTGTGCGCTGTGCCTCAAGCTCAGGTCTCCGCTTCCACGAGCTAACAGCAGCACCTCAGGAAGCCTCAGCCTGCAACACATAAGCACCTGAACACCTTGCATTTATTTCAGTCCATAACCCTGCATGTAAGCAATAGTGTGTCCAGTAGGCTAACCCAGCGCTACGAGACTCCTTTCCCTTCTCCCTAGGCAAGCAAGTTAAGTGAAGACTAGTTTCTTTAAAAGCTCAAAAGAATATTTTAAAGTCTAGATGCCTCAAACATTTCCGCCTGGTAACACAAGGACCTGAGATGTTTAACAATGCTGCAAAGAAAGCGACCGGCCCAGCAGATTTCAGGTTCTCCATGACTGGAGGTTTTTGACAGCAGCCAACAGAGACAGGAATAATGGTTTAAAAATTCCACTTCAAGACCAGAAAGGGTCTTCCGAAGACATGTACCCCCTTTCCTTTTCCCATTTGCTCCAGGTATTGCAGAGCTCGACTAGAACATCCTTGTCCGATTTTGAACTGGAAATCCTACGGAAAATTGTTAGTCATGTCTGGCCTGTGCGACATTCATTCTTCTACAGTCCCATAAACGCGTAGTATTGCAACAGCACCAGCGATAATGACTGCATTCTATAACTATGTGCCAAGGTGCAACTTCAGCACTGGAATTTAAGACATTTCTGCCTTTCGTGTTTCTCACTAGTCTTAGGTGTTCCAATGATATATTTTTAAGCAAAAAATCTTGGAGCAGTTAGCTGTGCAACTAAGCACTCGGGCAGTCTTTTTTTGGCCTGATTTGTATGTTCTGAAAAGCCTGCCTCAACCCGTCTGCTGGCTAGCGGGGAGTCATAATACATTGTTTTGTGTAACCAATATTAAAAGTTTTTTATACTTTCATCTACTCAGCGGGGGTGGGAAATAGACTTCTAGGACTCTCCCCTTCAAACATACATTTGAAGAGAGAGACATAAGCATACAGAGTCTGAGATCTAAGCGCTGTAAGAATAATCCTATAATAATGATGACACTTAATTTACGTGCTGTAAGAATAATGCTCTCCTAATACAATTCTTCTGGTCTCCCAATATACGTGAAACAAACTGGTCTCATACTGAAGCTTCAGAACTATTTTTCTTAATTGTGCAATGCCAGTACTAATTGACTACCATGGCCAAATCTCATCTGTGGTTATTTATAAAGTGCCTGCTGCTCACACAGATGCTGTAGATTACATACTCAAGCAAGTTATGCCAGCAGCTTAGCTTGTATTAGCAAAATGTTCATTTGGGCATTCCAGGATGCTCTACAGACATAATTGCTCAAGCTCCATTAAAAAAATAATTGAAAAAATCATACATATTACTTAATGAGACAATTTGCAACAACCACACAAAAGCAATGGTTTTGCTTCCAAGTCTTTCAACCTCAACAAAGTAAAGAGCAAAAAAAAAGTTATTTCCTCCAAGAACTGCCCAGTTTTTAGATATTAAACAGTGATGTTTGCACAGAGTATGTCTGCGTATATGACATTAAAACATGGAAGCATCAGAACTCTGCTCGTCTTTTGCAGAACTACAAGAAACAAGCTAAGAAGGCTTGTTCGGTTTGAAATATCCAGACTTTTCTAACAACGATCACGGCCTCAGGGCTACTAAAATTATTAGAAAAAAAAACCTAATAGCCTGATCACGACAGGTGTTATCAAATCGAAGCACGTAGCCTTTTATAAAAGGCTAATATTGTTTTGTCAGACTTCCCCGTGACTCCAAAGAACCAGCATTGATTTTGATTGACAGCCACCATCTTCAAACCAAGCTGCAAGAAGTTTAATACGATGCAAACTTTGCCTTCACGTCAGAACTTTCTGCTCCTCAGGGGTTAAACAGAAACCTGTGATTTATCATCTGATAGTTTTTTACTAAATCCCAAAGCAAAGGACAACATGCATTCTCCAAGGGGTCTGACTGCCGCACCACCTTCCCCACAGGTTTTTCCAGTATCCCAGCCCATTCAGTTAAACACAGTAAGTATTTTAATCAGCTTGAGGCGGGGAGAGGGAGGGAGGGAGCGGGAGACAGAGATCAAAATGAGATCTTACAGGATTTAATCTTCACTACACATTCTGTGCTAGCGCCATGGACTTGCTTTAAACATCAGTAACGTACGCTTTTTGCATTAACAGCCAAAGAAAGAATATGCACTTTGTATGTTCATAAGAAGCCGTGAAAACATCTCTCCAGGTTACAAACCTAGACAAGCAGTTATTCACTCCGATCCTTTGGCTCTCGATATTTCCACTGGATATAGTCAAAGATGTCTTTTTCACATTCTACTGGTAGGGCCTCCCCAGCAACTCCTGCAAGCAAATTACTTCAAATTACTTCAAGTTGCTATTTGAAAGGTGGAAGGTCTGTACGATCCCAAAATGCCACATGCATTGCAAGATTAAGACAAAGCTGCTCTAAGTAAAACAGACTTAAAACAAAACACCCCCCACAGACCTTTTCATACAGTGTTTAGGTGCAGGTCTCATTAGTGCCAAAGGAAATAAGGTAATGAATTAACTCTGGGGCCATGTAGTTATGCAGTTAAATATATTTATATTCATGTGTGTATATATATACATATATATAAATATATATAGGCAGCCCCCCTCCAAAACAAAACAACTGAAGGACATGACATATCTTGTTAAGAGTGGGAAACCACGTATGTGCTGTGCACGACACTGAAAAAACAATCTGTAGGTCAGTAAGACTTTAAGCAGATTAGGTGGCCCGAAGAGGTAACGCTGTGCCACAAAGCAAAGCATGTCACTAGAAAGAGCACTCTGCGTAAAGGCCCAGACTGACCAGTGACACCCAAGGGACGGATTGTATACTCGTTGATTGTGAAGCCCATTTCCAGAGCATGAGCTCTCATGTTCTTATTGAATATATCACTTCCGGTGAAATACAGTACACCGCAGTAATACTGATCTTTGGGGATAAGCCTAGAATAAAAGTGGAAGAAAAGTACAGATTTAGAACAAATGTGTAACAAAAAATTTACAAGCCATTTGGAATTCAGCCACTCGGACACCATTCTAGGTTTACTTCCTATTTACACGCACACATTCTGCAACTCTGTACGTTTGCTTTTCCCACAAGCCAGATGCAAGAATGAAAAGAACCGCGTATCAAAGAAAGGTTCAGCACATCTACCCTGACCCAGGAGTTACTGGTGTTCAGCCACTGCACGGTTATGGTGCTTGCGCTCCTGCCAAGAGTCAATGTCAAAGCAATATGATAAAGTAGGTCACAATTCTGAAACTGGATATAAAGTCATGATTTAAAATACAACATTCTTGCTAGTACCCTGTTGTAGATACTGCCAGTTGTACAGTGGCTTCCATACTGCAAGGGAATTAGAAACCTAGTAAACGCCATGTTCTGAACGTGGAAGTAGAGATTTAAATGCCAAACTTGATGCAAATGCCTGCTGTGTAGCAGACAGCTAATGCAGGGGATTTGGGGTTTTTTTGGTGTGTGTACCGGATGTCGATTCTCCTATGTGGATAGGCTGTTCCATCTTCTTTATCTGGCAGCTGACAGACGCCCTGTGAGGAAGTAAGGAAAGCAAGAAATTCAAAATGTAATTAAACAGATTTGAGATCAATCTTCACCTCCCCACCCCTAAACAACCTCTAAACAATCCTCAGCCAACCTGGAGAGCAAAGTTAAATTCCTG